AAGATTTATATAAGTGCTATAGCGCTTCATAAGTTTCAGATGGCATGCAACATGTACGCACTGCATATCTATTTTTTGAGTAAGGTCATGGACATATTGTAATTATTTTGAGTATTTACTATTTTATCTTCATATCAAACCACAATATAGCATATTGCATGCTTTCATTGAGAACTCTGCCAGTTTGGGAACACATGTTTACATAGATACATTTTACATGATACTTAGTATTTTTGTATCATGTTATGTCTTGTGATTAAAACATATTTCTGTGCGTTGAGATGTTAGCTACTTCACTTGCCGAGATAAAATGCACATGCACTAACACCTGTGCACTATACTTAGCGCACTGTGAATCTTGTACATTTCAACTATGCAACACAAACATTTTTCATATTATCGTTTTCAGCATTTTACTGAAATGGTTGACATGTGAGAAAAATAAATGCCTTAGGCTTGGCAACATATTTGATACTTGTTTGTAAAACACGCAAATAATGTTCAGTACTAGTATTAACTGTAAAACGTTTATGAACTCTGTTGCATTTAATTAATACTGAGGCCTGAGCCGTGTTGTAAATATTATCAGTACATATGCCTACTTCCCCAGGCATTCCAATATGACCGCTATTGGCTATCGTCCAATGACTTAGGATGAGGAGTTCAAATCCTGGCATGTCTTGTTTCATAAACTTTTCCCCCACCTGTTTTAACTTTCAAAGTTAATATAGGGTCAGGGATGGGATTGCTTTACTTTGTAAAATATTGTCATAATACGAAAGCTTTCGTAGTGACTATTTGACATGCAGTGACTAATATAACATATCAGTAATATAAAATGTTTTTATGAAGGATTTCAGCAAGCTCAACACTCAACAGCAGCTCAGTATGTTAGGCATGTGTCAGATGAGTTTTTCAGTGGTGGCCCAGTCTGCTTTGCAACATTGTTTATTTGCCATAGGATACATTTACACTATACCGGATAGCTTTCGGTAACAGCATGTAAGAGCACCTATCCGGAATGTACAACTTTCAGAAACTGAACGAAACATCATCTCTCCGTTGCAAATGACTCTCTGAAAGTGTTCCTTTAGAGGTCTATATCTTCGAAATTATTGCACTAACTCAAAAAAATCTTTTGAACTTATTAACTAACTTTTTACACTCTTTTCAAATCCACAAAGGTCCCACAAGTGATATAGGCACTACATAGTGCTCTCTGCCATCGATGAACTATTGAACACAATTTTTCAGAATCTACGTCCAACATTGTTCAGGGAGGCGATTTTTTCTATCTTATTGATTTTTTATAGGTGTTTCAAAAACTCAATAATTCATGAAGCAATTATCCAATCTTGAGTAAGAAATTAGTCACGTGCATACGTCTTTATATTAGGATGTTAGAGTTTGTAATCCAAGTGAGAATATATACATTTTAAGACCTAACCAGGAACGACTGCAAAAAATGCAGCACAAGGTCCTCTGGTAGGAATCGAACCTACGGCCCTGCGATTACCTATATATACATGAACTTACGGTTACAGCTCAACAGCAGGCCTCTGTAGCTCAGTTGGTTAGAGTGCTGCTCCGGAATTGCAGGGCCATAGGTTTGACTCCTACCAGAGGACCTTGTGCTGCATTTTTCGCAGTCGTTCCTGGTTAGGTCTTAAAATGTATATATTCTCACTTGGATTACAAATCCAAACGTCCTAATATTAATTCCACCAAGTGAAGTGCAAGAACTAAGTTATACATCTTTATACCAGCTAAAGAACACTTTAACAAAAGACCATTGTTATGCGAAAGACTTATATATAAAGATTTTTATATCAAAATTTGACTTTTTTTGCAAACGTTTTTGAAGCCATTTAAAAAACTCGCATGTCGTGTTTTATTAGGTCTAAAGCCACTTGTGCTGCGCGCTTGTTGCTTTAAACCTAATAAAACACTCCTGTTCGTTTTTTAAATAGTACTTCATTAACTTTTTGCCAAGATTGTAGTTTCAACTGTGCTTATACATTATTATACAATATTTTACAATATATAAAGTGTATATTATATCGCATTCTCATGTTTTTATATCATTATATCAAACTAAAACCACCCCCAAATTACACATAAGACTATATAAAGAAACTAAACAAGTTATACTTTATAATTTAAAGTACATGCTTAATGAAAAATATAATAAAATTAAAAAATAAATAAATACTCACACCTGGCCTAGTCCACATATGGTGGCTGATGAACAGAAGACATTTGTTGCAGAAAATTTAAAAACAAGCCATGAACGTATTTTGGAAATTGAAAGAAACACTAGGGAACAATCTGATTGCAATGTTTGGTATTCAGAATATTGGCTGCTATTAAATGGGGAAAGATCCCAACAAAATGAACGGAATCAAAGAATATTCCAAATTAAAAGGAAGAGCATAATCAGGCAAGTCAATGTTTGCTCATTTTGTGGGTTTGTAGTCAACAGAATGTTTCCATGGTTAGATGCAAGTCCAGACTTCCTCATACATGATAAACATGGATTTTCCAATCCATTTGGTCTAGGTGAAGTCAAGTGTCCTTATAACAAGAAAAATCTGACTATAGAGGAATATTGTAAGGACCCCAATTTTCTTTAGTCAATGTTAATGGCAAAATTAGTTTGAAAGAAAAACATGTTTATTCCTACCAAATTCAAGGGGGCATGCCACACTGAAGTTGCAACAGTGTGACTTTGCTGTGTTTATGAGTAAAGGTTTATATGTTGAAAGACCCTTACTAAACTGACAGATATGTGGCAGATATATGTCATAGTTCTGTTAAATATCTGCAAAATATATGTATGAAAGTATCTGTCACATTATCTGCGACATATAGGAATTTTGTCTGATCCTGTTTACACACACAATATGAAACAAAATCAATAGAAATTGTGGACATTGTTAATTATATATTCTTACAATTTACATGTCATACCTTAAATTATGGGTTTAACTTTAAATAGTAAATAGTATATTACAGAGTAGGAGAATATTTATCTTTGTAATGAATGCAAGGTGGAAAAGGAGGCCATGGCAAAGGCTGGTTGCATCACATTATTGGATCTTGTTATCCACTATTATTAGATTGTCCTGATACTACATTATCCTGATACTTCTAAATATGCCATAATATAACTCTAGCCATGTAAAAAACCCTCTTTGCCAAGGCCTCCTTTTCGCATTGTCTCATTACAAAGAGGTCCTGGGGTGAGGTATTTATCCTGCTTTTTAATATTTTACACAGTGCACAGGTGAATTTAAAGTGATTTCTCTCTGAACTCCACACAGGTAATACAGTACCAGCAAATACTGAAATGCAGGATGAATAATTCACCTAATCTAATTAGCTAATTTTATGATACCAAACACTTTGACAGACTCTGCCAAAAGTGAGCATGACAAATTGCCAAAATTTTGCTCTTGAGAACCTTGCTGATCAGCCAATCATACACACTTTCCATATCTTGTCATGGGAGCTTCGGTGGGAATTCAAGGGGCTTCGGTAGCAATGCAGGTAGCGCACTTGCCTTTCACTTCTAAGGCCACAGGTTCAAGCCTCAGTGAGAACTTTCTATGATGGGAATTTAATATCATAGTTTTTAATACAGCTTATACACAAAATGTAAATAGCCACCTCATGGGAAATACAAAATATTGTTTTATACTATATTTGTAATCTCACAAGGTTAAAATGAAATTAAACTATGATTATTTCTGTCATTCTTTTAGTGCTCATATTTGTAGCTACATTTGACTATCGAGTATTTATATATGTGACAATCTTGACTTGATTGAAATGCAAATATATTCATATTAAACATTTAAAAACAGCAGTTATGAATATGAATATCTTGGTCAACATTATATATTTAAAATGATTCAAAACAATAAAAAATGCTTCGAATGATCAAACCACATAAAGAATAAAAAAAATTAAAGTGGGAGAGCCTAGCATAGGATCCTTGAGTCCTGTCCACACTCTTGCCATATGAACATCATTCAATTCAATAAAGCTGTTAAGACATAAAACAAATCATCATCTATGAATTTCCATTCAAATGATGATAATAATCATTCTAAGGGAAAAATAATCCTAATCCTAGTCCCCTAATCCCAAATCATAATCCCAATTCCTAACCCCAATCCTAACCATGTTAAATTATACCCACCGCCTCACACAGCCAATGCCTAATTATTGTGGGAGATTTGCTTTCCCTAAATAGATTATCATCATTTCAACAGGAATTGACAATTGATGTTAATCATCTATTCAAACTATGAGACTAGGCTGGAAACTCATGTGTACTTATGAGCGTTATTATTAGAATGATGGGAATTTAATATCATAGTTTTTAATACAGCTTATACATAAAATGTAAATAGCCGCCTCATGGGAAATACAAAATATTGTTTTATACTATATTTGTAATCTCACAAGGTTAAAATGAAATTAAACTATGATTATTTCTGTCATTTTTTTAGTGCTCATATTTGTAGCTACATTTGACTGTCGAGTATTTATATATGTGACAATCTTGACTTGATTGAAATGCAAATATATTCATATTAAACATTTAAAAACAGCAGTTATGAATATGAATATCTTGGTCAACATTATATATTTAAAATGATCAAAACAATAAAAAATGCTTCGAATGATCAACGATTTTAGCGTGAGACTCACGCTTTTGACCACAATCTCACGGTCTCACGCTTTCATGCCTGAATCTCACGCTAAACGCTAAATGTCACCACAAGTTTCATTAAAAGCTTTACCATAATTACCAACAAAGTTACAAGAAATAACTGGTCAAAAATGGTGAAAAAAACGCTATAATATTATAAAACTTAACTATATCGCCATCCAACAATAAATAAACATGGTAAATAATTATTATAATTTATTGGACACATTTGACATTTCATAAATTATTTTTTGGATAATTTATTCAGATCGAATTCAAGATGGCGACCACATCAAAGCGATGTGCTTCATCGAGCAACGAAGAGTCAGTGTCAGACAGTGACAGTGACACTGATCGTGAGCATGAGCAAAACAAAAATGTCTCTAAACAAGCTAAGTCTACAAAACCACAGAAACGGAAAGGTGCTGGTACATATAAAGTTGCTTATAAAGCAGAATGGGCTAAAGAATTTCCAATTCGAGCTGTTTCCAACTTTAAACACAAGTTCCATTGTATTCCGTGTGGAAAAAACATAACATGTCATCACCAAGGTTTGGGTGATGTAAAGAAGCATTGTTGTGGAGAACTACATACGAAAAATGTAGCATCGTGGAAAAAACAGAAAACTATGAATATGTTTAATTCAAACAAGCAAACCACGCTTTCACAAAAAGTTATCAAAGCTGAAGTAACAAACTTTCTCGTTCAGCACAATTTACCCATAGCTACTGCGGATCACCTTGGACCTCTTTTTAAAGAGATATTTCCTGATAGCAAAATCGCTGCATCATATTCTTGTGGTAGAACCAAAACATCATGTATCCTGAATGAAGCGCTTGCCCCTCAGTGTCACAAATACATTATAGAACACTACCAAACACATCCTTATAGTGTTGGTACGGATGGGTCCAATGATACAGGGGTGGCTAAGATGAACCCTGTAAGCATTAGACTATTTGATATTAATCGGTCAAAAACTGTTACTAACCATTTTTTTGACATGTGCTTGACAAAAGGAGAAGATGGGGCCAAAACTTATAAAATATTTGAAGCTATCGAAGAAACGTTCACCAGAGACTCAATGCTGTGGACAAATTGTGTTAGTCTTAGTATTGACAATACTAATACAATGATAGGAGCCAATAACTCTGTAGCTTCACGCTTTCTGGAAATGAATCCTGAACTATTTGTTGCAGGCTGTCCATGTCATCTTGCACATATTGCTGCGAGTCATGCCAATGATGCTTTTAGTGACATTTTGGGAATTAATGTTGAGGACATTTGCATAGATTGTTTCTATTGGTTTAGCAAAAGTTCGAAGCGTAAAGGCAAGCTCCTTGAATATTTTGAACTTTGTAATCAAGACTATCAAGCTGTTTTAAAGCATTTGTCTATTCGATGGTTATCATTACAGCGCTGCATAGACAGAATTCTTAAAAGGTATCCTAGTTTAAAGTCATACTTTTTAAGTGAAGAATCTCCTGATCAGCGATTCCAAAGGTTATGTGATCGGTTTGGCAATCCGTTGTTAGAGCCTGCCCTGCTCTTTCAATCTGCAGCGATTTCATTGTTTACTCATTTTAACCTTCTACTTCAAAGGGATGAACCAACCGTTCATGTTGTGCAGCCAGCAATGGAAAGTCTAGCAAGAAAGCTTGCTAATCGAATTGTTCTACCACGAGTTTTGATAGATGTTGATTCGGTAACCGAACTAGACCTTGATGATGAAAGTATTTTTATAAAGTCAACATCACTATTTCTGGGAGGCACCACTAAGTTTACACTGAACAGATTACGCAATGATGGTACCATAAATGATTCTGATTACAACAAAGTACACAATGCTGCTCATCATTATTTCAAAAGTGCTTTAAAATACATTTTTGATAAATTCCCAATTGGCAATGATGTGTTGTGCAATGCTGTGTGGGTAAATGTTCCCAAGCATCTAGACACTACTTGGGAAAGTGTGCAGTTCTTTTTGGAAAAATTCTCATTGCTGACATTGCTCCAAGGTATCAATCCTGACATCCTGCATGAGGAATTTGTAGATTATCAAACATTGCCTGATGATGCTATTGGTCAAGGAGCATGGGAAGAAGCGAAAGTTGTTGATGGCCAAGATGAAGATGGCAATGAAATTGCTCATCATAGAGTAGACATTCTCTGGTGGCATCTAGCTCACTTGCAAGTGCCAGGAACATCACAGAATCGGTTCAAAAACCTGTCAAAGGTTGCAGAAATTGTTTTAGTTATTCCACATAGCAATGCTGAACAAGAGAGGCTTTTCAGCATTGTTAGAAAGAACAAAACGGACAGTCGTTCCAACCTTAAGCTTGATGGTACCTTATCAAGCATTTTAGCAATGAAAACAACATACCCAGAATCATCGACACCATGTTATAAATGGAAACCTGATGACGAGGTGCTTACAAATTCAAAAAAATCCACTGTGAGCTACAACAAGAAGCACATCGGGGATGCGCAGTAAATTACCTAATACAGAAGTTTATATATTGACATTTTTCATTTATTCCATTTTAGACATGCAATGATGCAATAAGTTATGTATGATATGTTAGTATATCATATGAGTTCATTGAGTTGTGTTTTGTCACGTAGATTTGGCATTTTGTACGCTTGTTGGCATTGCAAACTATACTTTGTGTCACTCTTTCTGTGTATATACAGTTTTAGCGTTTAGCGTGCGTGTTTGTTGTTGACGTTTCTAGCCAGGCAAACTGTCGTTTCTATAGGTGTGCAATGGTTTGTTTCCATTGGCTAAAGTACAAGTTGTGCTATTTACAAAGCAACGTATTTTTTTTGCCAATGGAAACAAACCATCGCACACCTAGAAACGACCGTTTTCCCGGCTAGAAACGTCGCGTTCCAACGTCAACAACGATCGCGACAAATACGCACCTTAAACGCTCAAACTGAATCGGCTGTAATATTATTTGTGGATAGCAACGACTTTAAAAAAGCCATACAGTCTATATTTTACAATTTACTTGTTGTCTCACGCTTTTTGACCATTTCTCACGCTTTTTTGGAAAAGAAAAACACAAATCTCACGATTTTTAACCAAGCTAGGTTGGCATGTCTGCACATAAAGAATAAAAAAAATCTAAGAGGATTAGCAAGATTTATTTACCTTAATTTTCTCTTCCATTGCTGGTTTCGGATAGCAATGAAAGAACGAAATCACAAAGATTTTGAAGCTTCCAGTGTATCCACTCCTTAAAAAATTTCTCCATCTTGCATGTGCTTGCCTTTGTCAGGAAGTGATCATATAAATTTTAAATTTAGGTATTTAATACAAGTGCAGTTTATGTTATGCCACAACTTTCCTGGTAATATTTGTGGAAGTATTCATCAACGGTTTCGAGACTATGGTTTAGACTTGAGTTCCTATTAAATATTAAATAACATTATGCTACAAAGTCAAACAACTTGCCCAGTTTGCCTTTGAACAAATGAAATGCCTTGTCGTTCGTTGAGGGACATATTTAATTTACACTAAATACGCATTGCTTGCCATTGGTTTTATAAATGCCCAGTTTACCTTTGATTGTGTCAGTCAGTGTTTGAACAAATGCCTTGCTTGTTGTCGTCGAGGGACATATTTAATTTACACTAAATACGCATTGATTGCCATTGGTTTTATAAATGCCAAGTCTGCCTTTGATTGTGTTAGTCAGTGTTCGAACAAATGCCTTGTGGTTGAGGTACATATTTAATTTACACTAAATACGCATTCGTCGATTGCCATTGGTTTATTTTATATACTGTGGAAAGTACTGCACTGAAAATCAAGCTTTTATAGTGCATAGATGAAAAATGACCAGGTCAAGGCTATAATTCAGTCTTGCCAGTCAGTTGGTTTATATAAATACTTTTGCAGCAACAAATATGCTTACTATATTATGAATACTATTAGAAGACTAGAAATATACAATGGCTTGATTCAAAGTTTAGATTTCTGTTTATCTATCAGCACGCAAGAAATTCTATAGGCATGCCCGCCCCCCTGTATATTATATTATATCACTTCAGGGGTGCATCCAGCAAGATTTTTCTATGGGGGGGGGGCTGCGCGAGCAGCCAAGTGTGTCTTTATAATTCTTTAAGGGGTGGTGGGAGAATATTCAAATGAATTGGGTTCCTAACAACTCAAGCACAGAAGGTGCGAGCTCCCTAGGGATATGCCCCCAGAAAATTTTGAAAATTAGAACCCTAGAAATGAATTGTGAGCTTCAGTTTGACTTGAAAAAAGGAAATTGTGCCATATTTCTGAATTTGATTTTTTGCACCCCTGTTGACCGAGGCCAACAGGGGTGTGCACCTACAAATCCACCCCTGTATCACTTGAGCGCAAACTCTTGTCGAGACTGGGGGTCAGGTAGACTGCGAAATTCCAATTCTATGTCAGGCACGGGCACTCACTGCACAGTCCACTTGCACCTGATATGGGTCTAAATTTCTCAGGCAATGGGTGCCCCCAGAACACATTTTCCACTTACTATCAACAATAAAAATAATTTGAATACACATTACTGTATCTAGAAAGTTATCCTTTTACATGGAATAACATTTTTAGGCATCTACCTAAACTATACAGTTTATTGTCTGTGAACAAGCTCAATATTCTGTTCAATATGCAACATAACTGATACTCAAAAGTTAATTGGTGAGAAAAATGCACTTTTCTATTTTTAGTATCTATTGTCTGCATAGAGTGAACAAGCTCTAATAATTTCAATATAACATAACCGGAAAGTTAGTACGTTTAAAATGTTTACTTTTCCATTATCGCTCTATCTTTTTAGAAATTAACATCAACATGTTTATTGTCTGACATTAATTTTGCCACCTTCCAAGAGCACACATGTTATTTTATCCTCATCACGATTTTCATTCCACTCAAACTCTTTATCATTGCACTGGAACATTTTACGTAAATGCTGATGGAAAACCAAAATATTTAAGTGCTCAGATGTATTGCTATTTTGAACGAATAACTGTGCACACCATTGCTTGCTAGTGGCCACTATTCGTTGTTTCATTTGGCAGGCTTCGCACTTCAGAGAACCAACTTGCACTGCTTTTTTCCCACATGAACCACATATGTAATATGTTAAAATACTTCTAATACCAATGATTGTGATATCTATCTCTTTTGTTGTCATTTCAAAAACAGTGGGCTCTGGTTCAGCTAGATCTTCTTCAAAATCTTCTGTCATTCCCACCATAAATCCTTCTTTGGCTGTGTACAGCGCTTTTGTTTAGTTGTTGTTGCATTTGACTCTTAGGTTTTTGAATAGGTAGGTCTTCTTAGCCTGGACACAACTTGCCCACTCTTCCCAGAGCACTGCAGATAATGGAACCTGTTGGGTCAACAAGGGTGGCTGTTGATTTTTTCGATGTTTTATTTTCCACTTTAATTGTTTTAACCCCTTGAAATATCATTGACAGTTGCTCTAACTGTGACCAGTTGCTGTTGGCACTGTGGTATACAGTGAATCAATAGTTAGAACTTCACTGTTAATTGAATCATTCAAAGCGAAAGGTAATTTCTCACTGAGAGTGCTTATGGAGCTTTTGTTTTTTATTACTACGTTAGAAAACTTCTCATTGTATTCATAATTTTGGATCTTAACTCATTAAGTCTCATTGCGCCCCCATGCGCCCTGGAATTGGGAACGGGGTAAGTCTCATTGCGCCCTCATGCGCCCTGGATGACACATCAACTTCCGGGCACGATTGTCTAGCGCATGTTTATCGGGTTGCCTAGCAATGGTCACGAGTATAAAGTGCAAAATTCGGGCTTTCAAACGATACATCATGCGAGAAAATTGATCAGAAGGTTGCGAAGATTTTCGATTTTAAAACTCTATTTTTTTGCAAAACCTGTGACAACCGCAAAGTGTCACAAGATAGGACTTTGCAGCAAGTTTTAAGGATGAAAAAGAAGAGGTTTTTAAAGAGTTTTACATATAAAATATATTGTAAAACATAAGGGAGAGTGCATATGTTTCAAGTCAAGTTCTTGTCCAAATCAAGTCGCGCGATTTTCAGCCAGAAAAACAGCAATTTCTTTCAATCTAACGGAAAAGTGAAGTGGGAAATCGCAAGAAACATGAACACTAAATCCAAGTGAGTAGTTACGATTTTTTTGAGCGTGTTTTTGAATGAAAATACCTGGCATGTTTTCATGAAATACGATATAGCATTAAAGCAAGTTCAATCTAGTTTAAAACTAAGTTTTTAGAAGAACTTTTCGTGCATTTTATGGCATGATTTCGACTGTTTTCGTGACCCTACTGTTGGTCGTCTTGCTCAAGTTGTTATTTTAGCCGAAGTACTTTCAGAAGACAGTAGGTTCAACTTGTCATGTGCGTATACGGTATATACATTTTTGGCAAGAAAAATTTCGAGTAAAACCGCATTAAAACTAAGTAGAATACTCTACAATGAATACTATATCTGTTTCTATAAACTTTGTCTCGAAACGAGCTCTCATTTCAGAGATAATGTGGTTTAAAATCAGTGTATTGAATTATGCTGTTACTTGGCGCGTGCGAATTCTGAACCTTCATGACAGGGATTTGAAAAGCTTCTAAAATACACTTTATCGCTTCATATATCCCCCATAAAAATTTTAAATCAATAAAGCACATCATAAAACTAATGTACGCTCATTTTCTAAGAAGTACTCATCGATTACCTGAAGGAAAAGTTTAAAATAGGTCAGGAGAGCAGTTTACAAAATGCCGTTCTCCTCTGAAATGGCTTCTTTTGCGGGAAGCCATTAAATTTATGTACTTTCCAAAATTGTAATTTAGTCGCTTTTTTCGTCTCATTGTTCACTTATTTATCATGGAATTACTTCGCTTGAGCTCTTTTAATAATATCTGCAAGATACTTTGCTATTTGGTGAAATAAAAGCTATATTTTTAGCAGTTTATCTTTTGAAAACTGCATGCGCAACAAAGTGTCACCAATGTGTTTACTCCCGTCTGACAAACAACCAAAGATGAAATACTTTATTTCACTCTTTTATAGCGATCTAAAATGCCTAAATATTAGATTATTCATTTTATTTGAGCATACATATTATATTTTTATACAATTGGTCCTTGAAAAGGACTTATTTCAAGCTAGAGTCATAGATTAAGGAATGAATAGATGGCTCACTCCTTTGATGTTTTTGACGCTGCCGGCGCCCACGCATGTTCTTGCCAGAGTAATGGCGGCCTAGCAAGTAACTGTAGTAAAATGCATTGTAAAATTGACATCCGTGCTATTAAATCCTGTATTTTTTCGCTTTTGGCGGGTTTAATAGAAAGATAAATCAGAATTATAAAAATACAGAATTTAGTAGCACCGATGTCAATTTTACAATGCATTTTACCACAGTTACTTGCTAGGCCGCCATTACTCTGGCAAGAACATGCGTGGGCGCCGGCAGCGTCAAAAACATCAAAGGAGTGAGCCATCTATTCATTCCTTAATCTATGCTAGAGTCAGATTTCAAACTAGAGTCAGATTTCAAAAGAAACCGCCTGTCTGACATTTTACAGCAAACCTACATTGGCGCGCACGACGTTTTAGCCACAAATCCGTTGTTTTCTCAACAGAAACAAAAGGAATTTCAGTTAAAATTCTTACCTGATGAATATTCAAAAGTGTTTATCTCTTTTTGACGACTTTCAGTGCTCTTAATAGCGAAATAAAAAGCCTTTTGTTTTGTCACCGCACGCTGCGTTTGAAAATGCCGGCTGTCAAAGTCAGAATTGAAAACACCTCAAATATTTTAAAATTTTCTCACCTTTTTCATCCTTTGTTTATATTTTAATTAGTAATTTTTGTACTTCGTGTTTTTCCAAACATATTTGAGCTATTTAAAAACTTCAAAGAGGTACAAACACTGTATTTTTTGGTTACAGAGTTTTTGGACTTGAACAACAAGTTCTGAAGTTCAAGTTCTCCATTGTAAACTAGATGTCCTGAGTGTGCCTGAGCTATGCCCAAGCAAATTTTTATAGCGTTTCATTATTTTGTAATTTATACCCTACAAGATGAAAACTAATTTGAAAATAAATGTGTACCAATCCAGGAATCAAAAAATATTTCTCCATTTATGTTGGGTTATTGAATTATTGCCCTTGAGATGTTGGGTGTCATGAAGAAGCAAAATGTCAGAGACTTAAATTTACACAAACCAAGAATTCTCACCCAAAAATCTAATGATATATTTAAGTGTGGGAGCTCATTTAAAATAGAATTGATTAATAATTTATCATTTTAACCCACTGCAAAATTTCAAGGTTTTTTATAACATTGATCTTGAGATATGGGTATTTTTGTAAAAGCAGTTGACAGAAGTTGACAGTAACTAAAATTCGCCATTTTCCTTGCAACTTGGGGAGTGCCAATGTTGCAACAGTCTGCAACTTAATGAGCTAACAGGGCTCTTTTTCCCATTGCCAAACGTAGTGGCTTATTTTTAGGTGGTGAAAAACAGATTGCCTTCACTAGTGCATTTGTTCCAGTTTGGAGCTGGCAAGTTGTGTATTTAATCTTTCTGAATTCATTACTGGCATAACCTTATGCTTATGAACATAGCAGAGAATTTCCCGATCTGAAATATTAGAACAAATTTTAATAAGTTTATAACGATTCACAAGATTAAAAATTGTTTGGCTGTTTACTTTACAAGTCCCATATGGAAACTAGAAAAACTTGTTTGCACAACAAGAAACTTACTTGGCGCAGTTGGTGGAATATGTATACAGACTGGGCCTGTGGAATCTAGCTTTGTATTTTCCAAACCTACAGAAAAAGCACCAAATAAATATAATTTAGACCGTATATTTTGAATAGATCTTTACCGTTTATTTATTCATGTTTTGTGCTTAGTAGCAATGAAAATTACTTTGTTATTGAGCCTAAGAACAGCAAGAAACAAATTCGTCCAGGAAAACATGAGGGAAAACATGGGAATATAATATTTATCTGCCCTTGACATGCCAAAATAAGTTAACATGGAAACAACGCCATTGGAAAAACTTACTTGAAACTTACTTGGTACCATATGGAAACTAGAAAAACTTGTTTGCACAACAAGAAACTTACTTGGCGCAGTTGGTGGAATATGTATACAGACTGGGCCTGTGGAATCTAGCTTTGTATTTTCCAAACCTACAGAAAAAGCACCAAATAAATATAATTTAGACCGTATGCACGGACTGGGCCTGCGGAATCTAGATTTGTATTTTCCAAACCTACAGAAAAAGCACCAAATAAATATAATTTGAGATTGAATATTTTCAATGGTTTGTTATGGGGGAGGCCCGGAATAGGTAAACTTTCATAAACTAAAACAAACCCAAAAATCTCCATCAAAATAGTCGTTTGGTATCATAAACTTCCTGAAATGATACACTAATATATTAAAGTGTCAGATGCCAACTGATTAAAAGATCTTATCAACCCCAATTACTTTATTGAGACCACTGCCAGCAGGGAACCCAACTACAGGCCTGCCGATCGACTTTTTTAAATCATATAATTTAATAATTTTGCGTACATATTGATAAAGTAGCTTAAAAATTAAAATTTTAATAAGCTTTTCAAGTCTTAGGCCTTATAAAATAAATTCCTTGATTCTCATCGCTAAATTTTAAAAACTCCCAGGAGGCAGGAGGTTTATATTTTATATTTTATGTCAAAATATAAAAACAAAGTTTTAAAATTTAAAAAATTGGAGAGGGAGGTCTTTTTATATTTGCCCTTAAATATATTATAGAAGAACGCTATATAAGTGGATAATTGCACATGCGCTAATGAACATGCATAAGGGTCCACACAAATCGTTGTAATAAGGCTATATAAGCCCATTTTTTCCTTCAGTATTCCAAGCATCCCTTAACATTTTGCAATATTAATGATAAAACAATTTTATATTGCAAAAATTCCAATATAAAATATAAAAATAACTAAATCTCTGAAGATGTTCAGTCGGGCAGTAAATTTATATTTTATAACAAAATACAAAAATATATCAACACGGAAACCAAAATATCGTCGGGCGGTGATGAGAATCAAGTAATTTATTTTATATGGCCTTAGACTGAGTAAATATATATTGTAAATAACAACTAACCTTTTTATAAAGATATTTTTTAAAGTGCCTATGACACGAATTGCATTGTAAAGATCACTTAAAATTACTTAATAA